ATTGGAAATAAGGACGCATTCTTTGAAACATCTTAAAATTTAGTTTATTAGCTAATCAATGAGGGCATTGCATTGCATTATGATTACTACCTTATCCTTTTATTTTTAGTATTTTTTTTATTAAATTGCTACTGTTTTTTTTGTGTCATCGACTTCAACTGCTAAGGTTATTTCGCCTCGTGTTCTGTGTAGGCTTTGTTACTGTTTCCCAGCGCCACTTTAGGAACAGCACTGTTAATTAGAACCCAACAGTGAATGGTCAAGTGGGGAATCCTACCAAGGCATCAGAATTAATTTATATATAAAATCAGTTCTGTAAATCAATTTTTAAGTTTTCTAAATATTATTTTGTTTGTAAACAAATTACTTACCGTTTAGAGGTTAAGTGGAGTAGCTTAGCTAGACTTCGCCTCTATATATTTTCATGTATTGTATATTACAATGCAAAATAAAGGCATTTTATTATTATTAATATCCGTAGGCAAGTGTGACAATCACATAAGTCAAAAAAGGGACTTTACACACGAGATGCATACAATATTTTTTCTGCTACCGTACACATCCACTAATATTAGAAATATAAAAGTTACTTTATTTTACTAGTGCATAAAGTACTTTGTTGCTAGGTACAATTTTATATGAGACCTCAGATTAAATATAAATTAACAGAATTCATTTATTTGGTTAATAGTAGGTTTCTGATTTTGTAGGTTTTAGTGGCTTTAGGGTTTTTCTTGCCACAAGGAGCTGTAAAATGGGCAGTGGTAGAAGTTTATTTGTATCAGCTTTCCGGGCATCAGTGTACCAATGCACTAAAGAAATCAGCAGTGCTTTAAATGAACCAGATTTAACATTTTCCAAGAAATTTTGAAGAGCTAAATGCAGTCAGATAATGAAAATTCCATGATACAATAGATCTTTTCCTTTGCATGGAAAGTGTAGCACTGAGCTACGCCACTTCTGAAAATATCGTTCCAGCCATACAATTTGTATAAAGGAACGATATTTTTATAATTGTAATATAAGAATCCCATTTTAGGAAAGTATGCGTAAGTAAACCCTTCCCAAGGTTGAGTATTCGCGAAAAATGTCAAGAATAGAACAGTTATTAATAGAAAATAGACCATTAATGAGGCCAATGTATGCCTGATTTTAGTCAACATTAACTGGATGGATTAATAAACGATCAATGGAAAAATATATATAATTGGTTTCACATAAACTACAATACTTAAGAAGCATATTTTTTTAATAAAAATAGGATGAGCATGTTTTTCTTGACCCATTGCTGGACACGAAAACTTTTTTTGTTTAGCTCCTCAACTCAAAGATAACAAGTCGTGTAGAAACCACTAGAGGACCTTTTTTTTAAGCTCATCAAGTCTTAGTATGGCCACCCTAAAAATTAAAGGCTCATGGAATCTTATAATTTAAACCTCCCTGCCCTGCCTAATGGATCATGGCGGCTTCATGTCAAAATGTTAAAAAATATTTACCGCTGAAAACGAATATATGAATTATCTTTCATAACATTGGCACTTATACAATACAAGACAATTTATTAAGATACATCGTGGCATTTTCAACTTGAAATCGAATAACTAAAACACTTTAAATTGCTAATAACACCAACAAATAAATCAAAAACGGCGGTCCATGATGATTCACTTACGCGAAGATGAGCGTAGAATAGAAATGTCGGAACAATTAAGGTTGAAATAGACAAAATGCACAATGTTACATCTCCGGTCTCTTTAATTTAAGATTTAGAGATTATTAAAATAAAATTATTTATACAATGTGTTTAAAAAATAATAGTTTTTTGTTATTTTAAGCAAATACCGGGAATTACGATTGAAAAATTAGAGAGAAATCACTTGTAACGTCTTTTTACTTTGCACACAATAGTCTACAGCTACTAAAATTAATATAAAGTTTCCCTACCAATAAGATTTTTGAGTAGTTATTTGTATGTAGTTTGAAGTTTTTTGTTTTATTATCCAAGTTAACATTGACTTTGAATATCAAATCCGTTTTTTTTTTCATGGTTACCGTAGATAAGGCAACACATTATACACTACTTATGACAAATTATCAGCTTTTATATCTATTTATTAAAATAATGTGATGGTAGAAAAAATCTTGTGCATTTTGAGCAAAAAGTTCGTTGCTGATTTCGACAGACTGCAGCGCTCCCTACATGTCACGCGGACAATTTTCTGTCTCAAAAAGTATCACTACTTTTCACTCTTGATACACAAATAGCTAATTCCGCACCGATATGCGAACACTCGTAGTAATGCGCTTGCGTAGCTGTTAAAATAAGGTACCCATATTTGTGACGATAACTCTCAAATTATTTGAGAAAACATAACCTAATTTATTTGAATTTTACCATTCATAGTGCGATTGAGTAAATATTCAAAGACGCTTTATAAATGGGGTTATAGGTATATAATTGCAACATGTGTTTAATAAAAAGGTAAAAATACTTTAAAATCATACAAATTAAAACAACCTATATCATTGTTAGTAAATAAACTCTACTTAGCACACAGGTTAGGCAAACCATTTTGGTAACTAGAGGTGAGTTCGGGCTGCGCACTCCAGAGTGGAGTGTAGTAATTAGGCGTAAACGGAGTGCGAATATGATTTTACTCCTTTAACTCTCGGAGTGCAATGTCAATTGTCAATGTGACATACCAGTACTTAAAATTTAATCGTACTTGTCAGTAACGGCCGTATAAGTTTCTTCCATATTAATGATATTCACGGGAACCAAAAAAAAAATTATTTACTAAAGAATCACTCACAATTAACTTATTATCAATTTAAATCACCTTATGCGCATGCCCGATCCACACTCCACTCCACTCCACCATCACCGAACGGTCAAAGAGGAACTTTTATGTTAACTCCTTCCGTACCCGAATGCCTTAGGTACTTTAGGAGTGAATATAGTGAAAAGAGTGCGTAGACCGAACTCACCATTTGAGACTATACTGCCATTTTTTTAAATTCTGGTTGTATTAGTACCCAAAAAGAAACTACAGGTTCCGTTAAAAATATTTCAATACTGGAAGCAAAATAACCATTTTATGAATTTTACTGGAGGAGAGCCAAATAGATTCCAAACAATATAAATAAAGGGCAAAGGCATCTTGAAAATGTTTTATTTGAAACGAGCCATCTAGAAAAATCATAATTTTAGCTGTGAATTTTGGGGAACACCAACTTTTTGGAGATGCAGTGGTTCTTCAACAATACAATTAAGATTTTAAGTTGACTACCATCTCATATTCTGTGAATTAACATTTTCAGAGAGGTAAAGCAATTCTCAAAGAAAATCCTCATTGTTTAAGATTATTTTGGAACCATTGATAATATTCCACTCTTCTTGAAACTCTCATGAAAACAATAAGGTCTGTATGCATAACAGTTAATGTAAGTATTTTTTTTAGAATGAGTTGGCATATAACATAAGACAAATTTGTTTGTTGCACTACTATTACTGAAATAGATATTTCTAGATTTTTATCAATAACATCCATATTTTCAGCTGTAGTCTCCCACTTCCAGGTTTTCGATTGACAATACCAATTTCTCTCAGTAACTGCACATAATTCGTCAAAACATTGTAGTGAAACACCAATTCAGGATGTTCTTCAAGAAAATCAGCCATGCATTCTGGAATTGAATACTGCCACTCACTATTTACTTTCACACCTGTAGGGAAGTAACATTTAAATTTCACAGCAAACTCCAATTATGATGATTCTAGATGGATAGTTATTTAATTGTAATTTATTTTGCATAGGAATTGCTTAATGAAGATAGTAAATAAAATTACTCGAATTTAATAATGTTCATATTTATAAACCAAACTTAGACAAGCCCTTGAACAAAAATGGAAATTCTAGTAAACCTAAGAAATCTAAATATGGGCACTAATAAATCTGTACTAATCTGTACTAATCACTAAATTATGCTTTGCTGAAGATCTAGAGTCTAAAACAGCTCGATTTTTGTTCAAAGGTGAAGTTGGACTGGGCTAATCCCATTTTAAATATGGACTCTAGCATATTTAGTATACAATTTATATAGAAAATAATTAAAATAAGTCGACATTTTGAAAAAAAAAAAAAATATAGTACTAAGTTGGAACCATATGAAAAACTTTTTTATTATTGATTTTGTGTAAAAATTTATTCTTGATAAAAAGTTCTGCATGGTCCAAAACTTAAAATGCAACCATCAGATATCAATTTTTTTAAGCCATATATGAGGTTTGTCAAAAAATATGATTTTTTCTGAAATAAAGTACCTTTAATTTTGATAAACCTCGTATACGACTGAAAAAATTTTTTTGATATCCAATGATTTTATTTTGTTTTGAACCTTGCTCGACTTTTTATGAAGAATAACTTTTTCCTAATATTAATAATAAAAGTTTTTCATATGCCACCAAATGTACATTTAACTTTAGTGTTGTAAATACACACCTATGAGTCATTCATTGTGGTCCTAGCAGCAATGCTGAGGACATGCAGACTACAAGTTTATGAAAATCTTATATATTAAGTTCACATACAATATTAAATACTCAATTAAATAACAGTGTAGAAAAAAAAATTATATCATGCTTTCTCTTTTGAAACATACCTTGCAAAGTGAAATTATTTATTATTTTCAAAATATTTGCCACTTAAAATTTGAGTGGTAATTCAGCTTCAAGTATTTCAATGTTTTTCTTACCCTGATATATTTATAAAGGAAACATGCTCCTAGCATGTTAGTTAAAAATATTAAAAACTTGTTATTGAACACTGTAAATAAAATATACCCTGTGCCAATGTGAAGAAAGCATCGGATTGTCAACATCCTCTATCAGGACAGATGGAACCATTCTTCCACCAAGATTAAGTGAGTCCATATAAAAATTTTTAAAAGTATAGAAGCAAGAAATCGATCTAAAACTAAATAGACAGAATATTACTTACTGCCCCCACATAGAAGTGTGCAGGTCTGGTTGCTTTACGCAAACCTTGATACCCATGTTCCAGTTCTGTATAGGACATGACTTGAAAGAAACATACCTATGATTGGTTCTACAAAAAATAAGTTAAAAAAAATCTTGATAATAGGAAAAAGTGTTTACCAATTATTTTGATTTATTGAGCTTGAGCAGGTCACACAATCACTATTTATTGATTAGTTAACCCGGTATAGTAAAACATAGATAGGTATATACCCTAAAGGATATTCAGGTAGGCTTCATAACTGTGTAGGGTATAAAGAAAAAATCCATTGTATTCACAGGTAACAGAATAATGAACAATGGAATGGAACAAAAATGTTAATTTTAGATCACCTTTTCATTTCTCTTTACTTCTAACCTCAAATCACAAAATACCTGAGATGTCAATGTCAATAAAAAAAAACAACAAAACAACCGTCCAGTGTTGCCAGAATATATTTTTGTTATGTACCAAATTTGTCTGAGAAATGTACCAGATTCTATAAATTGTACGATATTTTTCGATTTTTCGAATTGTGATGGTTTAGTTCAATGAAAAAAAAAAGCTTTTATCGAGAACGAACACAAACAAGGAAGAACCCAACAATAAATTTTACCCGTCAAATGGAAACAGGCTAAAGGCTGTATGTCACGATACTAAATTAAGTACTAAATTTAGCACTAAATTAAGTTATTAATTTAGTACTAAATTTAGAACTAAAAATTTTTTTTTCCGTTTGCAACGATACCAATTTTTAGTACTAAATTTACTATAGGCGCACGCGCATTGACGTATTAATACGTAAAATTAACAGAGAAATGAAATATTATGTGTAAAACAGACAAGTAAATGGTGTTTTTATTATCAATTTGACACTAGTTGACTTGACAACAACCAAATACAGCATAAAAACCACGAAAAGAACACAATAAAACCTACAAAATCAAACAAGCGAACTTTATTCAAGGCGATAATGTAAAATTGTCGCTAATTAAAAATAAAAGGGTACAGAAAATACCGTCGTGTCAACTTTTTCTATGAAAAACTTCTGCGCAACATTTCGGCGCACTTTTAGTACTTAATTAATGACTTTTTTTAGCACTAAATTTAGTACTAAATTTGCTGTTTGCAACGTGAATTTTTTTAGTACTTAAAAAATGCATTAATTTAGTTCTAAATTTAGTACTTAATTTAGTATCGTGACATACAGCCTTAAAAAAAGATAGATTTTGCTTCTAGTGTACTAGAGTCCCAGATTCTTTTATAATGTACTATATCTAGTTATAATTGTATTAGACTGGCAACACTGCAACCGTCATGTTCCGTGCTCTGGGAAAGAGACGCCCCTCCATGGAGACGCCCTTGGAATTACCAATGGCATATCGTTATATAGATTACTCACGGAACAGAACCGTTCTGGCCCAAATGTGTTATAAAATGAAATTTCATATTACAAAAAAACATGTGAATTTTGGAGAAAACAATTTTTTGTGTTTCCATATAGTCAAATAACAATAATAAAATATCTAAACATTTTTTATAATAGATAGATTTTGGACCACTCTCGTTTCAGAAATAACGATATATATAAAACACATAATTGCAATATGTAATAGTATATTACGTAACAAGAGTTGTAAGTAACCCATTATCCAGACAGCACACCAAATCCTTTGGATATCTACTGAACATCCCAATATCCACTGAATGTCCAGTCCATGGTAGATATCTATTTTATATCCATGAAATGTAATTTATAGACATGCAAATGTCCATAAATAATAGTAATTATATAGCAAATTATTAAAAAATTACTCCATTGTGCTCGCCATTGTGGCTAATAGTACCGTTCAGATATTTAAAATTATTTTTTTAAGGTGTATTCAATATCCCATGGACATCCACTAAATATATCAAAGTCTAGGCGCGAACGCAAACCATGGTGGATATCCACTAGATATAATTTTTGATTTTGCTTACTAAGTATAGATGGCGATACGACTTTCGCTCGTTGAATATCTACTCATGCTCAACCCGCCGTAACTGAGTTCGATCGAAATTAGTGTTGCAATCAAACTCCGTTAGAGACTGGAGTCGAGAATTTCCATTTATTGCTGAAGCGTCCTAATAAGGATGACTTTCTCTGAGGCAAAGTGTTGAAAATATTTTGAGTGTTGAAAATATTTTTTATCTCTGCTATTTTCTTTCGACGTTATTTAATAATCATTGGTTACTTATGAACCTCTACTAAAGATACCCATAAAATATTTTGCTGAATATCCGAATATCTTCTATGTTCTGGAATATAGACGGGTACATTTGGATATCCAAATTAGATCCACTGAATATATTGGATATCCACAAAATATATTCTGTGGATATATCTGGGATTTCTTGTATTGTCTGGAAGATACCCATTAGATATTTTGCTGGATATCCATAGGATATCTTCTATATTCTGGATATAGACGGACATTTGGATATCCATATTAGATCCACGGGATATTTCAGATATCCTGTGGATATATTGGATATCCACAAAAGATATTCTGTGGATATCTCTGGGATTTGGTGTGTTGTCTGGGAAAACTACATACCGCAGAGAACGAATGTCAAATTTTTACAAACGAACAATATATATGAAAATTATCAACAATATGATAGTTATATTGATAACTGTCAAAATGAATTATTTAAAATCTCAAAAGGAAATTCAAAAGTCGAAAATTTTCAACAGGCAAGCCTTACCGAAATTTTTGGGCAACAGAAAAAATAATTATGTTACAAATAACTCATTACCTTCTATAGAAATTAAGAACCTACCAATTAAATTTTTAATTGACTATGGGGTCTATTCTGTAAAAATTCCTTTATATTTAACGGCCTTTAAAAATATGTTCTTCTTTAATTCGGTCACTATTTAAACGGATCTTTAAAATACATTAGAGAACTATCTTAAAGAAATCTGTTTAAATAATGATAGAAGTAAATTAACGAATACGAACATATTTTTATAGGCCGCCAATATTTTTAAAGGCCGTTAAATATAAAGGAAATGTTACAGAATAGACCCCAATGGTAGTTTTAAAACCAAAAAAAAATGCTGAAATTATATATTTTTTAAACATTTGGGCCAGAATGGTTCTGTCCAGTAGTAGTCTTATTTGCATATGCATCTATATAACTTTTTACATCATTGGTCCTTCATTATTCATTGTCATTTGTCATTTCTCTCTAATAATTGTCATTTGTCATTTCTAGATAAAGAAGTCGTCATTCGTCATAACACTATTTTTAAAATAATTATAATCATTAATTTTCATCAATTTAAACATAATAATAATGTCTGCTAATCAAGGTATGATTTTAATATATTTCAGATAATTTATTTTATAACTATCTGTTTCAGAAAATCGCCCTGAACTTTACGAAGAAGTTAAATTGTATCACAATGCCAGAGAACGAGAAAAGTAAACAAAGTTAATTTATATAGATATCAGAATTTTTAAATAATATTTTTTAGGTACGATAGTTTAGCAGATCTTTATGCAGTTATAAACACATTGCAACAGTTGGAAAAGGCTTACATACGAGATTGTGTTGTGGCTAAAGAATATACAGCAGCTTGCAGCAAATTGCTTGTTCAGTATAAAGCAGCTTTTCGACAAGTTAAAGGTGATGAATTTCCCACCGTTGATGCTTTTGTGAAGAAATACAGGGTAAGTAAAAATTAATTAAATCATCATTTGGTTAATCTATCGTTTTCATAGCTTGACTGCCCGGCTGCATTAGAAAGAATAATAGAAGACAGGCCAATTACCATAAAAGATGATAAAGGTAATACTAGTAGGTGCATAGCTGATATAGTATCATTATTTATTACACTAATGGATAAATTAAGATTAGATATTAGTTCCATGGACCAATTGCATCCTGATATGAGAGATTTGGTAGATACTATGAACAGGTTGAGTATTTTGCCATCAGATTTCGAAGGTAAACAAAAAGTATCTGAATGGTTGGCAACTTTGAACTCCATGCAAGTTTCTGATGAATTATCCGAATCGCAAATAAGACAGTTGCTTTTTGACCTTGAGAGCTCTTATGCCTCCTTTAATAAAGTTTTACATAATTCTGCTTAAAATGTATTATTAATAAAAAACTATTTTATATGATATTGTTTCAGATGTATAAAAAAATGTTTTATAGATCCAGGTTTTATATGCTTCTTAATATATATGATTTTTTTTTAATTATTTGTGATCAGTAGGGTATTTAAACATTATTAAAATAGTATGTAAGTATATACCTATGTTAGTTATTTCCTACCACATTTACACTATTTTTTCATTAAAAAAAGGCACTGATGACACCAAAAGTGAACAAAAGATAAACAACATGTTTTACATTTTTGCTGTATTGTACAGCAATTTTCAAAGTCTGTCCAGTATTTAATCTTGTACAGCAAACGTATAGTAGCTCCACTTGTGCATCCTTCAGGAGCATGTATAAAACCTGCCTGTCCATAAGTGAAATGACCTATCAATATAAGGATTCTAATAATATGTGTAAATGAAAGGCTTCTATTTATTTATAAATACTTTATTAATTTTTATTATGTACAAAAATATTAAATGCAATTTTTCATATCTTACATAAGCATCAAGTACAATATTGTTTACCTTAAAAAATATATTGTTTTTGTAGCAAACGTACAGGAGAAGTTGACTGAAAATATATAAACTACAATTAAAATTAATTAAATAAATACCATACATAAAAACGTTTATTATTCAATTATGTTTCCCTAATTCATGTAGGGAAATAAAAAAGTCTAAAAATTAAGATTTCGCTACAAATGGCTTGTTGGGAATGAGAGTATTTAGTATATACAATTTTCATGAATCTACTTTGTAAGCACAAGAAAATATAAATTGTTTTCCATACAACATCCAATAAACAAAGCTAAGCTTTAAATTTACGTATCCTTTACAAACATTTGAAGTAATCAAAAATCATGTAAAAAAATTACCATCATGTGAATTAAACATTTGTATAGGTAGCATCCAATGTATTGCTCACATTTTGGATTTAAATAACTTAAAAAGAGTTTTTGTCAATACAACATAAATAATAATTTAGAACTCAAAATAATTTTATTGTAGGTTTCTGGAGACCTGGAATCCTTTTATATTTCATTCACGTTGATATTGTAAATAGGTATTTACAAAATTAATAAATTTAAGTTATAAATAAAAGCATGAAAGTTTCATAAATAAATCAATACAGGGTCCACCGAAAACTTTCCATTTATGTTTTTTCGTATTACTCATTTTTTTTTTTTTAAATTCAGTACCCTTACAATTTGAATACGGAAAGTAGGTACCAAAAAAATGACGCGTCATTGAAAATGTAATTTGCTGGAGAATTCGGCAATAATAATTTTGTTTTTAGTGCCCTTTAGCTTGATAAAACTGTTACGTATAGTACAGTGCAACAATTTATTTGAAAGCTAATTTGATTACCAATTTAATGCACCACATAAAATTAAATATCTCTTGCAACACTCTGAAAATTAGTCATTGTTTACCTGCATCAATACAAAAAAACCAGGATGGAAAGTTTTCGGTAGGCCACCCTGTATATTAAAATAAAAAGTTTAGCATAGTATATATGCTTTGAAATTCACAGCATGGTATAAATATATCGAATTCTCCATGTACGTGAGCTTTCAGAATAAAATTTATCTTAAAATAATGAGTAAAAAAAAATGGTACAAATACCAAAATGCAAATACCTACCTATTAAATTATTATAAATTATATAAATAATTATTATAATCTATGTTTGCAAAAAAGATGCGAAATAAATATTAAATTTACAATCTGTGTATACCTTATTTAATTGGATTTTTTGTTTTATTTCTCAGTCACAAATAAAATACTAGGTATTAATAGTAGAGATAATACAGTGAAAAAATGTTTCTAAGCTCTATGCATAGCTCTGAATTACTTAGTAAAAAGAAGAAGACTTGTGAGCTCCGACATGCGTGAATTTTTCTAATGCTTACTTTAGAAACATTTTTTTGTGAATCACTTATTAGTTTGTGCAACAACAAGAGTAGATATATAATGACAATCAATTCGAGTTCTGTATAGTAAATATTTTCTACATCCCACTATTCTTTGTAATTTTGGTATAATTTATAGTTATATAGGCCACCCTGTGGTTATTACAACGTATGTGATAAATCAAAACGCAATAAAATAAAACTTTCTTTATTAATATTACGTGCTTAGTCACAGTAGTCACTGTCAAAATAGCATCATAAAATAAACCGTCTAAATTCAAATGGCGTGCGTTTATATTCTTCTCGATTTTTATTTTTTAAAAAGTGTAATTTTGGTATAATTTACAGTTACAGACCACCCTGTATATTATTACAACGTATAGGACGAATTAAAACGCAATAAAGTAAAATATTCTTCATTAATATATTCCATACATAGTCACAGTAGTCACTGTCAAAATACCAGCACCGAAAAGCAAAGTGTCTAAATTCAAATCGGCGCTCATTTGTTTTCTTCTCGATTGTTCCGAATTTCAATCGGCGAGCTTTCATTGGCCGAAATTCTAAAAGTTACCCTCTCTAAAACTAATTCCCCTCTTGTTGCACCATGCCAATCGAGGGGAGGTATAAGATAAGATCATTTTGGGAAATTGGAAGAAAAAAAGGTTCGGGAATATTCGAAGTACGTGAACAGGTGTTTTTGAAAGAAGTCTTCGTAATTTTGGTTTAAAATCGTTTTACGTTTCCGCTAATTTAATAAACCTGTGTTGATAGTCGTGTTATTAACAAAAAAGTGTTGTGTATTTGTCTGCTTGATTTAAATAATTGTGATGGAATATAGCAGAAACTTTCTTATTACAAGCCAGTTTCTACTAGACAATGAAAATTTGGATTTTTTCAACGTTATGTAAGTGTAATTAAATTATTTAAGATATATCTTTCTTGAGAGTTTCAAATGGTCAATGCAAAAAATGGACGTCCATTTTATTTACGTTATAGATAAAAAACGTTCCTATATGCTTTGTATGTATGAAACCACGATAAATAAAATCAAAGGACTAATTAAACTAATACGAACAATGGAAGTATTAACTACAAACTATATAGTGATCACATTTTTAACAATTTTTGTTTAAAAACAGTTTAAACTTTCACAAGAACGTTTTTTAAATCAATCTAAATCGATATGAATGTGGGAATGAAGCACGAAGTATTCCGATAAGCTCCGATTCGGGGCTAAACACAAACGGTGGCGCGAACGTTTGAAAAAGCACAGGTCCGTCTTAGATAATTTAAAACCGAACAATATTTTTTAACTATATTAACACTAGTTTATCCAATGTTACTATTAGAGAAAGAAAACTGGTTTTTTGATAGGATGATGTAAAATATATCAGAGAACATGGTTTATATTAAAAAGTAGGTAGTTTTTGTAAAAATATGTACATATGTCCACGTTTTTCATTTTACATTAAATTCAAATAACGAAAGTTTATCGGGTCGGATACAAAAATTTACAGGGTGGGCCACCGGTATTATAATATACATGGGTGTAGGTAAAAAAAATTACTAAAGCTTATAAGAAACAATTTCAGGAAGATAGTTACTGAATAATATTTCTCAAATAAAAGATTGTACAATTTTCATAAAATAAAGTTTACTATTTCAACAATATTAACTCAACCTAAATGAAAACCTATTCAGTGTCCTATTTATTTATTAATCGAAGTTTATTTTTGTTTGATGTATCAAATACGAATAATTAAGACAGCTCGCGTTTTATAAAATAACTTCCGAATCAATTTTTTTAACAAATACCTCAAAAATTACTTCAAAATAATTTATATTCAGCTTTATATTTCGCACGACATGCGCAAACTAATACGAGATTTAACTATATTAGTCCCAATTCGTTATAATCTTAATAATCACAACTCTATAAAAATTTAATTACTCCACACATTAAAACATTTTTTACGCCTAGTTGATGCTTCCTCTGTGATTCATGTAGCCATTGAACTGGGTACTAGCTAGAACTTTGTCTATGGCAACCTTTCTCATTCTAGTACAAGTAGCAAGAAGAGCTCCTCCGAGAAGGCACATACCTCCTCCTCCTAAGGCTAAAAGGGCTGAAAACCATCCTGTCTTCATGCAGATGCTGTTAGGATCTATTTGATTACCTGCAAACGATTTTACATTTAAAAAACATAAAATATTATTATACAGGGTATTTTGTTGCGAAACAAAAATAAGTTAACTGTGAATGGAAGGGTTCTAAATACCATATTATTAATTACTTATTGGGAAATAAAGACTCTGCTAGATACCTACACTCTAAAATGGATTTACTTACTTGTTACTGAAATGTTGTTTCTGTCATCATCAGCTTCACCTTCTTGCAGAACTCTGAGAGATTGGAAGAGGTTGACATTTTCTGATAAAGAAACAGGGGCAGGTGTAGTGATGTTTAGTGTTTCAGTATTATTACCAGCTATAGATCTTTTCCTTTTCGTTTTGATGTTTCTCCAATGACACGTTTGGCTCTAATAAAAACAGTTGTTATTAAAAAGTTATAAGAGTTGTTAAGTGTGATTATAATTAAGAAAAATATGTTCCTTACTGGACATCTACCATGACACATCCTTACGTCACATTCGATATATAATGCTGGGGATCCAGTGAATCGGAATGTTTTCATATATGCAAAAACTTGGGTTTCATATACTCCAGAATCTGACCAAGAGCCCCTAAATCTTGAAATGAGTTTGTCGTCTACCGGGCACCTAAAAATAAATAATATTTATTATATAAACGTTTTTAGATCATATTTAATAGAAAAACGAAATTTATGATTTACCCAAATTCGTCTATTAGTTGAATTTTCTTAGTAGCACCATTATGGGCATAACAGTCGTTAACTACAATATCGAATCCGTCTAAAACAAAATACCAGTTGATTAATGTAAATATTCAAAAATTATTCGAAATAAATAAATAATAATAGTAGTTTTTTATTCAACATCATTATCTCTTCATCTCTGAGAGAGCAGTTTTAATGAAAGAAAAGACTAA